TGGGCGGCCCGGCGCGGCACTGGGGCCCGTGGCCGAGCCCCACAGCAAAGGCCCTGTAAAACACAGCGGCCGTTAGATGAAAAAATATAATCATCCATCGTCTGTTAATTTATTTAAAACGCAGACAGAAAACGTTCCAAAACGTGACAGAAAAGAACCAGTCCCTCACACTCGCTAACAGTGCACTACCGGCACACCGCGAGTTACAAACACAGTGCAGTACAGAAAATCCTCAGGCACAATCTCTGCATTAAGGACGAAGTCAGTAGTCTGCGTGGAAACCCCGTTCCCTGCCACTCACACAGCACCAGCGGTTCATTTGGGCGCGAAGAAACACGAATTGAAAGGGTACCGACACCAGTGTCTGAATGCTCCGCTGCCCAGCGCCAGCTTGACTCTCGGATATTCACATTATAGAACAAAGAGAACAGTAGTCAACATGTTTGTACAAGAATAAAACACAAGTAGTAATGCCTTAACACACGTTTAAAGAAAAAAAAAAAAAAAGGCTGCTCCACAGCAGCGAGGCTGGCACCCGAGCACCGGCTTTCCCTGCGCTGGAGACGCGCGGCTCGGGGACCTGATGACGGGTGCTCTCTTCCTGCTCCCAGCATTTATTCACAGCCCTTTGATCTGCTTGTTTTCTCCAAACCATTTTGCTGGGTTATCCAGTGTTCAGCTGCACTTGCTATTTCAGAGCAAAGCAAACACCAAAGTCTCTTCTCTAAAAATACTGAGAAAACGGATTTCACACTCATGCCAGAGCTTCTTCTTCCACGCACCATTTCAAAATACTGATGCGCATCTCTCTTGTGCTTTGGTTTTTAAAGAGCAGTGAGCTGGAAACATGTAAAACCACACCCTTCCCCTCCCTCCAAATTCTTAAAGCATAATTTGTAAAAACAGTACAAAGTTTTAAACAGAGTTTCACTCCTGATCACATTTTACCCACCCCCCTGAAAAAAGGAGGGACTTAAACCCCAACAACCCTGAAACTGTAGCAGCGATAAAGTGTCCTACCATACAATTTTTTTGGATGGGTCTAACACCGCATAAATTAGCTAAATTTCCAGTCTTGGAAACTTTCAGGCCCACTAATACAGTGAAGCCTAAGACCATAAGCATCCATCACATAGACCGGAGGGCCAGGGTGCCAGACAGCTGCTCAGTGTTCAGGTGCTGCAGATGCTTCTGCCCTCATCTAGTGGTTCTGGGAGTTTCAGGAAGTCGAGGTCTTCCGGTTTTAAGGATGCTTCTGAGCTTCTGTTATCTTTCTGATTAGGAACAGCTTGTCACGACTCTCCTGGAGAGACAGCATAAAAAGTACACTCTAGACGAACAGAAGTAGTACAAGCTATCCACAAACAGCTCATTTCTTTATTGGAAATAAATAGGTGCACTCATCACATTGTACTCTAATTAGTGGCTCCCAGCACACTCTCAACTGCCTGAACATTTTTAAGTTTACAATAGTCCTGACTTCATTTACCTCATGTTAGGTCACGTTTATTAACAGTTCTGTGCTAAGCCTAGTAAAAACACCTCACACACCTAAAAACTTCAAACCACGTTTCCCAGAAGCCTAACAACAGTTAGCAAACAAAAATAAAAAGCACGCAGGGATTTTCAAAATTCGTAACTGTCCTGGTTTTGGTCAAAACAGAACTGATTCTCTTTTAGTGAATCATCCGCACAGCTAAGTTCTTCTAAGTAACTGCATTTTTCTGAACCTGGCTGCATATTTTACAGACAGTGTCTGCTCCAAAACTGATAACACCTAATATTTATAGTTATACTGAGCTAACGGTAGGAATGGAAGGCAGAAAAAGGCCCCTGTTTATAATCATTACTATAGCAGCCAAGGTCACTGATAGACCTCATAGGTCCTACAAGTAAGGAGACATAAAGGGTCGTACTTGCAGGGAGGGGTGGGCAGGATAGGTCACCCGACAGTGACCAACGCGGTATTCCATGCCATGCACGTCATACTCAGTTTAAAGTTGGGGGATCACGAGTGGCTCTCTCTCTCCTCATCCATGGCTGGCTTCCAAAGAGGACCCTGCTCACTGTCCTGCCTGCGATCCCAATCCAGATCCCGATCCGTGCATTCCTGAGTCCAGTTCCCAACTACTGCCGAGTCCAGTCCAGGACTTCCTGGTGCCAGCACCCCAGCACCCAACTCCTGGAAACTCAGTATCGGTTTTGTCTATTTTATTTTATTCCTCTTATTATTAATATTATTAGTATTATTTATGCTATTAGTAAAGCTGTTCTAATGTTCTGGAAACTCAGTATCGGTTTTGTCTATTTTATTTTATTCCTCTTATTATTATTAGTATTATTTGTGCTATTAGTAAAGCTGTTCTAATGTTCAGTTTGTACGTCTCTCTCCGTTTCCCTCCTTCTCCCCTCCCGGGGCGGGAGGGGAGAGCAGCGAGCATCCGCCACTCAGTGCATTGCCACCCTGCTGCAAACGGTGACACCAATGGATTTGGGAACCCTGCAAAAAGCAGTAAGGCTTTTGCTCCTTAATCCCTTACTCTTCAAAAATCTCTTCCCAGCACAATGTTTTTCTAAGGACACATTGTTAAATGCCAGATCAAAAAGCAGCACATACCAAGGAACGGGCTATTTCCTAAGAAAGCGAGCAGTCTCACTAGTGAGGCGAGGTTCTGGCTAGCGCAGATTGACAGCCCACAGTGCACAAACACTGCCAGACACGGCAGAAGCTTTTGACGGCCGCACGTCTGCACTGGCACCGTCATCCAAAGGACCAGTTAGACATGACTTGCTGCACTTTGAGTACCTGCTGGGACCTGCGCTCAGGCATAAAATCACACGTGATGAGGTAGAAAGATAGACCTGGAGGGAAGGGTAGGGTGTTGGGTGCCTGTTTGTGAGAGAGGAGAGTGAAATAGAGGTGGGGGTTGTATAAGACAGTGGAGGGGACAGGAAGCACAAGATTCAGGTTCTTGTTTGGCAGAAAAAAAATATGCAGATGGGTGGATTTAAGCAAGACAACAGATGAGGAACAGGGACACCACTCCTCAGAGGCAAATCTCATGCCATGTGTGTCACCTCATACAACCAGACCTTGCTGCTATTGGAGCTGATACCCAAGAAAAACAACTAGACTGAGAAATACTTTAGTGCTTCAGTTATTTTTCCTGTGTAATTTATAAAACATTCTTCACTGCCTGTCCAAACACCAAGTATCCAGAAGACTATGAAAACTTTTGTTCCTCTGCATGCCTGATTACTGACACAACAAAGAAAACCTCAGGGGTTCAGAAAAGATAGTGGTCAAATCTTACCATAACCAGTTGTTCCCTCAGCTGCTCAACCACTCGTTTGTGTGCTCCAGCCAAGGCAATAAAATAGAACATAATAAGGCTGCAAATAACAAACCAACATTACACATTAGCATCATGCAAAACAGCATTAATCAGAAAAAGGCTGTGATGGACTAGAGAAATTGTCAGTGTGTGCATTTGCTTCAGATGAGCAGCTGCTGGAGGGAAAAAAAAATAAATATCAATGTACAGCTGGGGTAGGTGGGACATAGTTCTGCTCAAAAGCATCTGCTGAGATATCTGTGCTGCCAGCAGGCAGGGGCAGAGTGCTAGAGGACGCAGAGGCAGGGCTGCTTTCAGATGCTACAGGTTGTGTTCTGACAGCTCCCTCTAGACTGCCAGTTCCTGCCCTGCTCTAAGTGTACGTATGGGGGCTTTGCTCCTCAGAAATTAAGTTTAACGAGGTTTCACTGGAGTAACTCTTCTCCCATTGGGGATAGTAACTATAGTAAGCAGCCACAGATCACTATTGCAGCCATTCGTCATAGCACATATTCCCGACATAATCTGTGACCCAGATTATCCACAGTGCATTAAATGATGAAGAGCAGTAGCAAGAACTAGAATGGCATGAATGCCTATATAAATAATCTATTTTCCTTTCCAAATAAGAAGTGGTAGGGTAGCAGTGCAAGTCATCCTCCATGTCCTACACAGGCTTTATGATAAAGTAAAAAAAGAAAAAAAAAAACCCAAATGAAACAACTTGATATTTCCCATGTATGCAATAACAGGTTCTGTTCAAGAGAACACGTGAACATGTGTTACGGAAGAAAGGGCTGAGTGGAGTCTGAAATAAACTGCATGGTTTCTCAAGTGCAGAAGTTGTAGAAAGTACCAGGTAACAAGGCTCCAAGATCTGAAAACAGTTGGGTTAAACTGAAATCCAAAAAATTCCATTTAAACATAAGGAAAAAAAACTTTTCCTGCAAGAGTGACCAACACTGGAACAGGTTGCCCAGCCAGGTTGTGGAGTCTCCATTTTCAGAGATATTCAAAACTTAACTGGACATTGCTCCTGAGCACCTGCTCTACTTGACTCTACTTTTTTTTTTTTTTTAAAGCAAGGTTTGTGGATAGAATATGTGATCACAACACTAACTTGCAGAATGATTCAGAGTCAACACTTTCGAGAAAGCCAAGTGCGGGATATAGGACATGCAAGAGGAAATGGAATAAAGCTAATGAGGGTGAATAAATGGGCAAAGACATAAGAGCTGAGGATTCATACGGGCTTTGATGCTTTTGACTGCAGATGGAAAATCTGGTCTAATAGTTGTTTGGTATCAGTTCGGTAAGGAACGAAATGAACCATGCAGCTCTGTGACTGAATCGGGTCTCCACAGTACTCACCAGATGACCATAAAAAAAGGCACTGCAAAGGCTTCTGATGCTATGCCATAAAGGACCTTCTGCAGACCTGTTGGAAACCCAAGTATTGTATCTGGAACAACTGCCCACGAAGTGTTAAAGTTCCTGAACGGCCCACATGCCTTGGACGAGGGGATACTGTCAAAGAAGCAGAACAGAAAGGAGATGTAACACCAAAATGTAAACGTAAAATAATCCAACACAAGCCCAGTACCTTTTTGCTGATGCAGTAAAAGTGTCCTTTGTCTTTAAAACCGTAATTTTTGTTCATGTGAATCAAGTTACAATTTGATTTATTAATCACTATATAATTTATTCCAATTTATCATTCCAAAGTTGCGTGTCTGTTTTTAGGCAACTGACAACCTTAGAACAAATGCCAACTTCATAGAAGATAAATTGTCACTTACTGTGCTATGCTGATTCCCAAAGGAACAAAAGCCAAGACGAGCCCAATCAACAGCACCACCAAGAAGAAAAAATTGGAACTTGATGCCCTGATAGGCCTAGCTGCAGGTTTACATGTGTGTATCAAACTGATCTGAAGAGGGAAAGTGAGAAAGACTGTTACCAGTACATCTATACACATACATCCAAGGATACTTTCTCCCCCCCAGATGAATTTTCCATCCTCAAACATGCTACCAGCTACCACTTAACCATCCTTCCTTTGATGTACATGGACCCAAAAGGGCTACGACAAGAACGCTTTACATTCTGGTAAAAGTCAACGTCTCCTGTTTTGGGTAAGAATCTGATCCAGAGAGCCTCATACACTTGCACAGAGTCAACTGATGTAGTCCTTTGGTGTACGATCCACTGCACAGCCTTTAGCTTTGTTCTGCCACACCTTCACTGGGTACATCCCCTCTTGTAAGAACTAAAATATCAATAAGAATTTGCTGCACAGAAGGAGATGCGTGGTCACAAAACAAAGCTTCTGATATGCAGAAATTACATCTTGAACATGCAATCCAGCTTGGATTATCCATTTTGCTTCCAAATTTTTAGCAGCTTGGCAAAATCTTGTCAAAGTTCTAAATGCTGTTGCTAGTACTCTC